GCAAATTTTGGCACCAAATATGTGTAACTACAACGGCTGTTTTTTTTTTCTGGTTTAATGTAAAGTCTACCTAAGTATTCTGTACAGTTTGTCTTGTAGAATTTCAATACTGTGAAACATACCTAGGAACTCCTAGCTCCCACTGTCTGCTAAATGCCAAACAAGGACTATTAGACTTGCCTTGTCCTCAAAAGACTGACTGTTTACTTATCATGTAAATGTGTAATTATAACAATAATCTACAGTCCTCACAAGCCTATTCTGCAACAACATCTCCCCGTGGCCATTTTTAGACTGCCTTCCTCTAACTTAGCACATCCATTTAAAGCACTGTTATCTGGAATCAGAGCATCCACACTAGAAGCTTCTGTAGAGCAACTTATTTCACAATAGCTATACTGGCAGTTGCAAAAAAGATCGTGTTGTTGCTCTGGCAAAATTTACCAGTAAACTCCGTAATTAAAAAGTTACTGGTTTCCCTTAGACATGCAAGGAAATTCTATCAATTGCGACTAAAATCAGGTAAAGTATAACTTTTGATGAAAAAACAGCTTGTTCTATAACCTGCTACCACAATACAAACCACCAGTTGTGTAAGATTTCATTCAACAATACGAAAATATGCAACTTTTTAAGTAGTGCATATGGTAGACCCAGAGCATTAAAGTAACAAAGGGAATAAACGAAAATGCAAAGAACAACTGGGAAAGAGATGATCACGTAAGCCTTGGGCTACTGATATCTCTTACCTACGTAATATTAAGGTTCAGGGAACAGCAAAGACAGCCTACTAAAAGCCTCCTTTCATCATTTCAGCTCTGGTAGAGTTTATACTCACTGTATGTTCACTATCAAGCACAGGGCCAGGTAGAGGAGACAGCAGCAACAGCTTCACAATGATAGTTCTCCTCATCTTTTCTTTAAATATTCCATTTAGTTCTTCTACCAGGCTTACTAACATCCGACTTACTGTCAAAGGTAGGACAAGCAGTTTTATTTTAGCTCTAATACTTATATAACTTTTTTTAATAATGCTACAGAAATTTTCAGCTGGGGTTGATCTTCAGTAAATAATCATGTTGTACAAAAAGGGCAAAAATATCTATACATGCATAGTTTATTTCCTAAAGAGAAACTGCATGACACCAGTTTTCATTTTGTCTTAATTTCAACAGACTAATGCATAATTGAGGACCAACCTTGCTTTCATACTAGGAGTTAAATTTATTAGGGATTACCAGTGCAACATCTCTAAATCACGAATCTCAGATCAGAACAAACGGTCAAAATCAATCTTATGTAAATGTTCTATTTTTCTTCCAATAATTCAAAATTTATCCACATGAATCCCTCTTCTTCAAATAAGTTCCAAACGAAGAAAAGGAGCCTAATGTAGCACCGCTTCCTGCCAGGGTTACCAGGCTACACAGGGGCTGCAGAACAGGCAGCTTGGGATCCTAAAGCAACTTTGCTGCCAGCAGAGTCGCGATGCACAGAGAGAAGGCAGCTCCTCTATTAGGAATATAATGCACATTATTCAAATGCACTTCTTTGACTGCCATGCCATTCCCCATAGGAACTACTTCCAAACTACAAGTATGTGTGCCAGAGGTACAGGCTGAGTGAGGGCCCACAGTATCTCATTTAAGCCCCAGTTATAATACAGCACATACAAGTCACTATAACATGCAGAACTGACAATTAACTTTATGCTGATCATTACAGCAATTAAATAACAGTATTTACACCACATCTGTGCTCAGGGTTCAGCTACACCTGGTTCCAGTTAAGATCTTCTCTAGTGCTAGGGTCCTTATCCCTCCCGCTCCCCTCTCCCGCAAAGACACCCACACACCCCTGCTCTGTGCTTGGCCATTCACTGACTCACCGTACATCCAAACGACCTGCACCCACCTGCCGCTACAGCCAGTTATTACAGCTGACAACCTGCCCGCACCACCACGCAGGGCTGCTGTGTTTATTTAACCACCACACGGGACCCTGTGCCACTGCACCACACACAGGTGCTATCTACAGATATCCATATGTAGACAGGAACAAACGCCGTCCCTTGCTGAGTAGGCACAACAGGATCAAGTCTAACATCTATAACCGAAACATCAGTTGCTCTGCAGGCCCGCTAGTCATTGTCAGGACTCACTGACAAGAATATAGTGGACATTGGAAGAAGGACTACTAGCACTTAACCATCCCCCAGCAAGGCGTAAGATTGCACTCAAAGTTACTCAGCTCAAGAATCATTAACTTCCATTTGTTGAATATGCTTCTTGCAAACACACATCAACAACCCAAAAGCTGACTTATAAAGTCAGTAGGTTTTATTTTAAAATACCGGTGATGTAAAGCTACTGACTTCGCCTTCTACTCGCCCACCATTTTAGGTTATATTTAGACATTCATATTCATATTAGGAACAAGGAAATCTAGAAGCCTAAATGGATTCAAATCACTCTCCACACTGATTCAATAATCGGGAGACACTAACAATGAATAAGGCTTCTGTTGATTTCAGTATTTTCTAGCTAATGTTTGTTAGAATCAGGGTATCCGTAAAAATTTATACCAGGCCACCCCAATCCTCTTGTCCTTATCATCAGCCTCATGCTGCTTTGTATCATCTACAAAGTAAACTAACAACGCAGCATCCCACAGCTCTTCTGTGCTAGC